TGACAAATAATACTCTTCTCACTTGTTACAGTGAATGTGAAACTAAGAGTTAGGGCCAACCTGTATCTAAGTTAATGGAAGGAAATGGTTGTGAAGCCCAGCAATGGTCTTTGTTGTATGTTTATGATGACTTGACTTTTTTTGACTTTGCCCAAAACACAAGGTGTGAGGAACTAACCAATAGAAACATTTTCAATTGGTCATGTAATTTGTGCATGGTGTCTGAGCACGAAACAAAAGATAGTCCATGGCTGGGGACCTCGCATGATCATAAAAATGTTGATACTTTTGTTTTGTCCATTGAAGTGTGTTGGGCTTTATAACCATTCCCCTCTATTAAGTACATGTATGCCTACACATAAAAAAAGTTGCCTAAGATGAAAAAACAAAAACAAAAACAGAACTGAACAGTGTCCCATTTTAGTTGTTTGACAAATTGCTCCAGCAACATTTTTTGAGAACATCCATAACTTAACTTATATTAGTCCTTATTGACAGCCTGACCTTTCCTGCCAACTAGCACTCAACCTTGAAAACCCTCATTAGAGTTAACCTTACTACTACTTAATGGCAGGTAGTGGTACATCAATATAAAAAAAAATATATAAAAAAAAAACTATTTTGTTATGTAGACCCAACAGTTGATGTGCCATGTTCTCAAGTGTGACTATGAAGCTATTAAGCAATTTCTTGATTCCATGGAATTAGATCCTGGTAAGTAAAAGATGTTGTTATAAATAGAATTTAGCTAAAGTATGTAGCTAGTCTGTAGTTAACAGCAAAGAGCAAGTGCACAGTGTAATTATCCTTTAAAATGACATATCTCTTGGCGAATTTGCTATATTCAGTTCACTGTGATATGCTCTTTATAGCTTGAAGTATTAGGGTAGGGTCTTTAAGTGGCTGTGTTTATTTGTCAACAACATTTCTGTAGCCAGTTAATTGACTTCATGGACTGCACTGAATTCCTATTTCCACGGGTGCCGATCAAACCTCTGCAGCCGAAGAAAATTTCAATTTCTCTAGCAAGTCTTCTAGGGCCGATGAAATCTCTGTAGTGGACGAGAATTCGAATTTGTCTCGCAAGTCTTCTGCCTTTTTACCTTCAATGCGTGGCTTTAAATTAGCCTCCTTAAATATTGCAAGCTTGCCGAAACACATTGACGAGCTGAGAGTTTTGCTCTCCAATTACCCTCTTGATATATTATCTATTAANGCGTGGCTTTAAATTAGCCTCCTTAAATATTGCAAGCTTGCCGAAACACATTGACGAGCTGAGAGTTTTGTTCTCCAATTACCCTCTTGGTATATTATCTATTAATGAGACGAGGCTGGATGATTCTGTCAGCAACGACGAGGTTTACATTCCCGGTTATGATATCATTTGCCGCGATCGTGAACATTACAGTAGATTTGGTGGGGGAGTTTGCACCTACGTTCAGTCTAATATGAATTTCTCTGTACACCCTGATCTAAGTGATGTACACCTCAAAAACATATGGATCGAGATTAGTAAACCTCGATCTAAACTCTTTCTTATTGCTACCTGGTATAGGCCTCCTAATTCATCAACTGAGATATTTTCTCATTTGGAATCCTTTGTTGACAAGCTTGATGCAGAGAACGTTGAATTTTATTTAATGGGTGACTTTAACTGTAATTTGGCTTCTTCGCAGCCTGATATCAACACAGTGTTGTTAACCAATATTGTTGATATCTATCATCTTCACCAACTGATAGATAGTCCAACTTGCATTACTAACACATCTTCTACTCAGATTGACGTTATTTTTAAAAATTGTCAGAATAATATTGTTTCCGCTGG